AACGAAATGTTAGGAGAAGAGGCCCCTACAGGCTGTGACAAAAGCAACTGAGACAGCAACCCCAGGCCAGACTCCCTCCAGCTAGAAGCAGAACCCAACTAGCAACCAGGACCAGTGGGGAGTCCTTTCCCTAGCCTGCCTAGGTTCACATGCCTACAGTAGCTGCAGTTGGTGGTTGATTCTTTGCAGATACCCAGGAAGAAAGAAGCTCTCTTGGAAGCCAGGAGGCTTTTTCTCAATACCTAAAACCTGGTTTGCTTTGAGGGAAAGGAACTTCACAGAACACCCTCACTTTGCTCCAACTCCAACAGGGAACCTCTTCCAGGTGGCTCCATACTGCCATCATACAAATAAGTTCCAGCACCTGGAACTATTCCACTTATTTCCATCTAATTCCAGCTTATTTTCTTTACCTATCTATTGGGAAGGCTTCCTGTGTATTCTCACCAGAAGGCTCCTGGCCTTTCTCTCCCCCAGCCTTTATCATCTTACAATGAACTTGCCTGATTAGGGTTTATTCTTCTCCTCTGAGCCTCCAAAACTGGGTTCCCAGCAGGGTGGGTGGTGCACACGTGTAATCCTAGCATTCTAGGAGGCTGATGCAGGACGATCATAAATTCCATCCCAGAATTATCAATTTAACAAGACAGATATAAAAAGTGGGTTCCATCCCCAGCACTCGAAAAAAAAAAAGAAAGAAAAGAAAAATCACTGCTACAGAGCATTAGACTCTCCTCTGGTAAAATGAGAATACCTGCTGACCCCTCTCTTCTGGGGTTTTGGAGAACTTCAAGCCATTCCCAACTTGGGAATGAAGAACTCAGCATGGTGTCTGTACTCTGTAGAAGCTGCTCCCTGGGAGTGGGCAGGAGACATTCCAGGTATGGTAAACAAGGTCAGGAGTAGGGGGAAGGGAGGGAGGGAGAGGGGAAGGATCCAAGCTGGTCAGCTGGGCTGGTAGAAGAGCTACAGCCAGCACAATAGCCAGGGAATCTCAGTTGCATTGTGGAAGCAGCTGGGAGCCATGAAGCATTCTGGAGCTGTGTAGCAACAGGTGGAAGTTGGGCAGGAGGCCATGATGGGCCGAGAGTGCCACGTCCTGGAGATTTGCCTGTTTGAACCAAAATAGGTCTGCCAGATTTAGCAACTAAAAATAAAAGATACCCAGTCAAAGTTGAATTGCAGATGAATAATGAATCATTTTCGTGGTGTTCCCTAAAGATTGCATGGGACATACTTACACTAAAAAACATGTGTTGTGTATCTGAAATTCAAATTTAATTGATTTCTGTTACTCTCGTGTGCAGACATGCTGAGTTCTTCATTTGCGTTGTCTGAATTCGCCAAAAACCTATGGTCTGGACATGACCAGTGGCACAAAAGGTGACAGATCTACGTGTAAGATCTGGCAAACCTACCCACATGCCAGTTGCTTGCCTCCCATTCCCCGAGCATGCATGCTCCAGGAGACAAACCCAGTGTCCATTATGTCCCTTTCCACATTTATCAAGGCTATCAGCCGTGGTCAAAGAGATGCTTCCAGAAGCCACTCTCGCTCCTCATGACACATGATCACAGCTGCTAGCCTGGGTGAGAGGGTCTACTCACCACATGCCAGGTCAGCCAGCAAGAAGACAGGGTTGGGACACAGGGAGAAGGAAGGACCACCTCCACTCTGGATTAATAAGAAACCAACTGCTGCCAGTGGCATAGGCCCATCTAGGATGTGCACCCAGGGAGAGGAAAAACTAGCCTCTACTCTTAGCCCCAGAAATACAGCACCTCCATGGTACTCCCAGAGACAGTGATATAAATCACAAGCTAAAGAAGGATAGCCCCTGCCTTGTTAAGCTCAGCTGGGTGTTAGGACAAGTCAGACTACAGGGATTGTATCTGGGCGACCCCCACCCCCATGATTCACAGTCCTGGAAACAAGTTGGTCAAAATCCAAATTCTGCAACAACCTTTATATCAACTTTTTCTCCCCTAACAAAGAACAATAAAAACAGTCTATACTCCACCTTTGAAACTGTGAGATAAAGCCAGGCACGGCGGCAGCACACACTCCTTCCTAATCTCAGCTACTCAGGAAGCTGAAGTAGGAGGTCACGTAGCTAAACCCAGGAGCTTGAGGTCAGCTTGAGCAATAAAGCAAGATCCTGCGTCTAAGCAAACTAGAAAGTGTGATAAACACGACTGCCTCCCTTCTGTGCCCTGCACTCTTCAGCCTGTTTAGCTCCGTGGTTTTCAGCCTTAGTGGCACATGACAACCACCTGGAGAGCTGAAATCCCAGCACCCTGGTCATCAGTCTACACAGCAAAGACAGAACTATTGACTTAGTGTAAGTTGTAAAACCTCACAGCAAAATCCCACAAGGTAAGTCTTTCTTTTTTCTTTTCAAAGTTTTATTGATAAACAGATAGCAATGAGACAGTTTCAAATCAAATCGGAAGTACAGTTTCAACAAATAATACACTGCATATATTCTTCTTAGTGGTTAATTGCTGTACAAGATGCGGACTTGTGATCCTATTTACAAACACCATTAGAACAAATCATTCTATTCATTAAGAGAATGCAACTATACATCTATCCCAACCACTCTGAATACACAGATACAAAATGGACATTCATAGGTATACCCCATTTTTCTAAGTTCCGTTATTGAATATTATAGGTGTGTAAACTCAGCAAAACATTCTAAAAGAGTCCAGTAGCCCATAATAGCACTGGGCTACAAGGTAAGTCTTATCATCGTTCTGCAAGTGACATTGAGGTTCCAAAAGCTAGATGGAGCCTGGCATGTGTAGCTTCCCCCCCCAACCCTGTGGCCTCTCCTTCATTCCCTCTCAGGTTCCTTCAGGAAATTCCTGCCATTTCCAGAGCTTTACTGTCACATGTAGTGGTTATATATAATGCTGTGGGGGATGGGGCTGAACAGGACAGGCTTCTGGTGCGGCACCGCGCCCCCAGGCCACCTTGAGATTGCCAAGCTTCCTGGCCATTCTATCTTGTGGTAGCCACCTGACACTGGGTTCAAGACTGGGACTAACATAAAGATAACTGAGGCCAGTCATTTTCAAACACCTCTGTCACTTGGAGTCACAGAAAAATGATGGCAGCCTCTTGCTTCTCACAACTGCCTCTCTCTCTCTCTCTCTCTCTCTCTCTCTCTCTCTCTCTCTCTCCAGCATGGACACTGAACTTGGGAACTCTGCACTGAGCTATATCCCCAGCCTTTTCCAGTTTTTATTTTGAGGCAAGATCTTGCTAAGTCACTACATTGCGTAGAGTAGGCTCACACTTACAGTCCTCCTGCCTCAGCCTCCCAGAATGCAGGCTCCTCAGGCTTTCACCATAACACGGGCCTTTACTGTGTTTTCTAAACCTGGCTTTCGCCCTCGCTGCACCACTCCTCAGTGTCCTTGCTCTCTAAATTCCTTCCCTTTCTGATCTGTCTCAGCACATCTCTACAGGAGCCACATATTCTCAGAGATTGTCAAAGAAGTCTTTGATCCAGACAAGATTGCGAACTACAGATCCAAAGGGAAAAGCCGTTTGCACTCCCTTCGCCCGAGCAGAACAAGAGGCCACAGATATTCCCACGTGAGGGCCAGCCTTGTGTTCACCCAAGTGCCTCCCCTGAAAAGAGAGCTTGGCTGGGTGAGAAGGCTGGTCACCGTCTGCCCTCTACTGACCAGAGAAGGTATTGAGCTCACTCTGCAGTTAGACCAATGAGTGGGACAAAAGGAATGAAGGAAAAAGGCTTTTCTTTTTTCTTTTTTTTTCTTTTATTATTTGTGTTATCTGAACAACTACTTTGAAGACAACAAGAAATATAACAACCATTGTTGAATCCCTATCATCTTGTTTTTTGAAATTCTGTATTGTTTCATGTCTTTAAATTTTGTATTCCCTTTAAAACAAAAACAAAAAGCCCAAAATACATGCATTGAAATCCAAGATCTTGCAAGGCATTTCTTGAGCATCTGCTGTGTGTCAGACTGTGCTGAGCCCTGGAGCGGGAGCCCTAAGCATGAACGTGACTTGCTTTTACGGAGTACAAATTCAAATAAAGAAAAAGACATTCAAGACAGGATGTAGCTCAGTGGTCGAACAGCAGCTAGCACGCACGCCACCCCAGGTTCCATCCTCAGCACAGCATAAAAATCAACCAACCAATCAATCGATTAAAATTTTAAGAGACTCTGGTGGTGTGCTGTGTGGTCGGGCATGGTTTGAGCAGGGCGGAAGGGGACACCTTGGCATCAGTGGACTATGAATTTTTTGGGAAGGTGCAAGGGATGATACTGTTACTATTGTTACAATTGGCTGTTACTGTATATTACATGTAAGGTGGAGGGATTACAGTTGTACAGTGAATAAAAACACATTAAAACCTTAAAAAATAAAATAAAACTTTAAGAGACTCGAGGCTGGGCATGATGCACGCCTTAATCACAGCACTTGGGAGACTGAGGCAGGAGGACTGTTGTCGGTTTGAGGCCAGCCTGGGCTACGAAGTGAGCTAAAGGCCAGCCTGAACTGCATAGAGAGACCCTGTATCCAAAAGGACAAATAAAACAAAAATTTAAATGATTGATATTGATCAAACAGCCATTCAGGCAAACGTGGAATTACAACCATGGGTTGTGAGCATAGGACAGTAGAGCCTTGTCTAGAAAAGCGGCCCCTGAGCGATAAATCATTTCGTGTCATCTGGATTATCCTGTGAGGTGGCTCCGCCCTTTGACAAAGCAGCAAACTGGGCTCAGATGGGGGCGGGGAGAATTTTCCCAAGGTTACAGAGCGAGCTGGAAGCAAATTCAGGAGGATCTAGAGCTGCTGGACTGCAAAGCCCACCACCACCACCACCTCCACCACCACCACCACCACCACTGCGGGTAGCAGCTCTAGGGCCGGGCTGGGCGGAGCCTTTCTAGATGGGGTGGAACCTGGGCGGGCGCTGCGGTCGCACCTTGCTGATGGAAGGGGTGGAGCCGCGGTCTTCCGCAGTCCTGGGGAGCGGAAGCGCCGAGTGCGAGTACCTGCACCTGCCTGGGGCGCGTACTTGCTGAGTTCCTGTCCACAGGTAGAAGCGGCCGCTCGGCGTCCTGGCTCGGCGGGCAGCTTCCCAGGTAGGGCCCGACCTGGCCCGGGGAAGCCCGTCTCTCTTGCCTCCCGCCGTGTCCTTCTGCCCAGCCACGGAACTTCCTTTCTCTGTCTTCGTGGGTCCCAGCCAACTGTGGCCAGCAGCTGGGAACGCGCGGGTGGAAAGGCCGACTTCCTTCCTCCCCCTCCGTGGCCCAGAGGCAGCGAGCTGCCCAGACGAGTAGAACATGGACTCTAGAGAGGAGGCGCCAGACCTGTGCTGGAGGCTGACCCAGCTTCACCCCAGGTTGATTGTGTGACCTCGGGAGCACCCTCACCCTCTGTGGTACTCGGGCCCCATTTGCAAAGCGGGGCCTGACCCCTTCTCAGGCCTTGAGCCTGGGGGACCATCTGGGGAGCAAGGGCGGCATTTATTCTCTTCCACAGCAGTAGAAGTGGTCATCTTACTACCCCCTGTGGTCCCTGGTGGAGAGCAATACCTCTGCTACCCAAATCTGAAGGCCAGGAAGGTTGAGAGTTCATCCAGGGAAGTTGTTCTGGCTCCCAGAGGCAGAACTGTGAACTACCCTGGGAGACCAGCGATATATTCTGAGTGGAGTCTGAGACTTGGGCAAGGCACCTGTGAGGCCTGCCTGGTGCCCACCTGCTTGTTTTGCAAACAGGGTGACCACCATTGTGCTGGGCTGCAAATAGCAGGTATAGTGCATTAGAGGCTGCCCTATGGCAGGGTCTTCAGGGCCAGCCCAGTAGTGGGGCTCCCGTAATGCCAAAAAAGATACTGCTGCTCCTGCTGAGTGACATACATGGGCATTTATTATACAGCAGAGCTTTATACAAATTATCTCAATTACTCACATATAACAGATGAAATCCCCACCAAGGACTGAAAATAAGACTCAGAGAGATGAGGTGACTTGTTCAAAGTCGCAGCTAGTAGCTGGCATGGTGCAGCTTGGTCCCCAGGCAGTCCTGTGTCCTGACCCATCATTCCCTGCAGACACCATGGTCTGGGGATCTGGTAAGAAGGCTTTGAACTAGCTCAGCAGGAAACTGGAGGGGTACCAATAAGGTCTGGTTTGGGCTCCCAGGGGTTAAAGATGAAGTGTTTATTTTAGATTTGTTCATTGGAAGGTGGAAAAGGAGCCAAGAGAGCTCCTTCTCTGGTGATGACAAAGGAGGAGGAGGAGGAGACAACTGAGTCCTGGGCAAAGAATGTGCTCTCACGGGTGGGTGTAGGAGATGATCCTCAAATGCCGAGCAGGCGATGAAGGGGCATCCTCTGGTGGGATGGGGAACAGAAAGAGGAAAGAGTTCTAGACCCCTGTAACATTTGAGCTGCAAGGAGTCTGCATTGAGGCGTCTTTCATAGAAAGGAAGCTGAGGCCAGCAAGTTACTTGCCTGAGAAACTCATGAGTGGATCTGGGGAGGACCCAAGTGTCCCCTAGGTGCCCATCTCTGCTGAAGTGGATTTCGTATTGGTGACCAACTTGTTGCACCCAGCTGAAATGAACTAATGTGATGCTGGGTGTGGAGGCCCACCTGAGGGTTCTTGCCAGCAGCGTAAGAGGCAGAACTGGAAAAGCTATTGGGAGGCTATTGGAAACTGCTCGTTTTCTTGGGCTGTTTGGCTGGAGGACCTTGTCATGCTGGCTTTCCTCATAACTTGGCTGTTCTTGTCAGAGGAGAATCTCAAGGCCTAGTTGTCACTGAGAATTGCTATGGTTCATTTTGGGGGAGCTCTGGTCCTCCTCTTAAGCATCACTTCCCGGCTCCAGAGGGGAAGATGGTGCACTGCTCAGCCTCCTGGAGAAGCTTGTTGCATTGGCTTTCCCGGTGGGAACTCAGCTTTCCTCATTGCTGGAGGAGCTTCGGACCTCACTGTGGCTGAGGATGGCTGTGTTACTATTGGGGGAGCTGTGGTTCTTACTTTAAGTGTTGCTTCCTAGCTCCAGTGCAGATCCCTCAGCCTGCTAGCACAATCCTTCATCCCACTGGCATAGACTTTCTAGCTTCCATTCACTGACCTTTGGGCCTTTCCTGCACAGATCCGTGAAGCAGGCCCTCAGCTGGATTTTTTGGTCTTTAGTCTGTGGATAGGTTTCCTACACTATTGTATGTGATCCTTTATTTATTTATTTATTTATTCTTTTCAAAGTTTTATTGATAAACATATAGCAATGAGACAGTTTCAAATCAAATCAAAAGTACCATTTCAACAAATAATACACTGCATATATTCTTCTTAGTGGTTAATGTGCTCTATTTCTTTCTCTAGCTGATTTTAGTTTACTGTTCCTGTGCTGAATTTCTGTGATCTTGATTATTGTATATCTGCGTGTGGTTTTAATTGGGTTGATGTATTTCAAGTTCTATATGCTTCAGTTAC